GTTTTATCTTTTCATTGAAACCCCAAAATTCATCGAATTCCATCTTTAGTAGAGTTATCCATGCAAATCAAGTAATTAGATGCTATAAAAATCGCGGTCCAGTTTTCGGCAATTATTTCTTCATGGTCAATGATAGTAAAGTATGGTCTTATCGTCATGATGATTCATGTTATGAAAAGCGGCTTAGGAGTGATAGTATCTATAGTCTTCTAATTGATGAATTTGAAGTATTTCAAGTCTTGAAAAATTGATTTGAATTTTGAAGCTCATAATCAAAGATATTGAAAACTTTCACTGAATATTCTTTTAAGTTAAATATCTCAAAATCTTCCCAGATGCGGTTTTTTAGTGATCAAAATATCTCATAACTATTACTTACCGTATTTGCCCGTAATAACACGGCCCGAGTTAAGCTTAATTCAGGCCGAAATTCAAAACTACACCCCTGCGCGTTATTACGGGCAAATACGGTATATTTTATTCTTATTAAAATTTAAAAATTATTACTTTTACTATGATTTGTTGATATTGTAGTTGTTATGATAGATCAAAATAAATGCTTAAGTCAATGTTTGAGTAGCTTTATCAATTCTGAGCAGTTTATAAATGTCTAAATTTTTGCAAATACAAAAAATCATAAGGAACATAAAAACGGATGCCTCTACTACTTATTTATATGTACTATTATACAATTAGTTAAGGTCAACATTATAATGAGTTATTGACAAGAGTTACAGTTTTTAAGTTTCTATTGTGTATTTGCTAGAAAGTTTTTGTAAAATAAAATTTGCAATTAGTAATAGGTCAGTGTCAATAACGATGTTCTGTATCAAAAAAATTATAAAAACTGATTAAACATTCTATTCACCTTTAGTAATTATAAAGTTGGCTACCAATAAAAGTGGTTTGATAGGTTTCGCCTAATGTTTTGGCGAAATTGAATTCAACTACGAAATATTTTGGATTTAACAAGGTGATCCGAAATATAAATTCCAAATTCCGGAAACAAGACGAAAATCTGATACTTCCAATAATTTTGATATTATCCGAAATTAAATATTATGATGAGTGACGCAAAGAGTTACCTATTCAACAGACTATTTATGTCAATCTGATAGCTTATTTCAAATACTGGTGAACTTCCAAAACCGATCCTGTCAAAGTTGATAGCCTGTCAATTTTCATAAAAAATTAATCCACAAGATCTGTTTCCGCTATGTGAATCCAATAATTTACATAATGTTTTCAAATATGATCTCCCAATACTGATATAAAATCTGTCAACTAGCATATCGGTTTTGAGAGGTTTAATAGTATGTATCTTTTAATGAAACATTATGATCCTTGTTATTTATATGTATTCGAAGTTAATTAATGGCATATTCACGAATATAAACACTCTAAACCTCCCAAAACCGATATATATGGTGAACAGGTTTTGTATCAGTATTAAGAATACATCATATTTGAACATTATAAATTATTAGATTCATATAGCGGCAAAAGACTTGGTGGATTAATTTTTTTAGATTTGATAGGTTACGTATCAATTTTGGCAGGATCAGTATTGGAAGGCTCAACAGAATGAATCCAATAGCTTACAATTTATCAAATCCGATAACCTCTCAATACTGATACAAGATCTGGAGGGTTAATGGTAGTTAAAACTGGGCAGTAAAGCTGCTCACATGTGCAATTGCTTAATTAAATATCAATTACAGAATTTTGACCAAAAAAATTTCACAAAATTGGAACACGTTTTTGAACATGACCATTTATAACTTTGAACTCTTCGGATTGAGTCTAAAATATTGACAATTACAGATTTTGTCAGGCACTTCGGAAATTTGATGTTGGGCAAAACTAGTATCGCCGAATTTCGGATTCAGATTTGGTGAAATAGTTGAATTTCGCTCGAAACATTAATTTCACCAACAAACTACCGCTGACCCAACTATAATGCTAGCCAACTCTAAACCTAATTGGGCCAAATTTATCAATGAAATAGCTGTCGGCGAAGTTGGTTTATATCATAAAAAAGCTGTCGGTGAAATAGGATGTCAGGAAAGTAGCTATCGGTGAAATGGGATGTCGAAGAAATAGATTCGGGAAGTGGGCTGTCAGAAATGGACTATCGCAAAGTGGCTGTCTGTGAAATTTGTGTAGGCGAAATTTGGATATACCGTTGTGGGCAGTGCAAAGATCTATGTCTTAAATTCACTTATGTCGCTAGATAATACTATATAACCGATTCTCTTTATAGCTATGTGATTCCTACAATCTGGCTACGATATATTTTAGTGGTCAGAGAGATATAATGAGTTTTAAGATGTGTGTGTTTGTTTGAGATGAAGCATTCCTTTGATGACATAGACATAGACATTTTAGCATAATTAATATAAAGCTAGTAAAGCCTGTAAATAATAGTGAACGGAATCCCCATATGTTTCTTCGTTTAAATAAAGTCAGCTGATCGAGTAATACGTAATAATTCTGTAAATGTATGTTGTGACTAGAGATGGGCACCATGCGCATGACTGCATGCATGCATGCGCATGGTCTGACGACCTATATACCAAAATGCCCATACAAAAAAAAAATCAAAGATAATAGATATTAGACCCAATACTATTATGAGCTACCCCAGTAGATTCATAAAAGATCATTGTAGATATACCAATCAGATCTCTTCTAACAATAACTCTCTATCAAACCAACTTCGATGTACTAACAAAAAAGTAAAATAAGTCAACCATAACTTTATCGTAAGGTTTTATTACTTTAAAAATTCAATGGCTCAAATCCAATGGGCTGAAATCAGTTCGCATGATCTTTGTCAAATAATATCAAACTTTCGCTATCTAAATAACAAAGATTACTTATAAAATTAAACTGAGATCAAACCAGATATCTGGATTTTAACTGACTTTCTACACACATATAAATTCATAATACATATATGTTTGTTATTATTATTTTTCAAAACATATTCGTTGGAAGATAGTTAAAAGAACTTAGAAGGCTTCAGTTAGAGTAATTGCTAAACATTTGGGTGTTAACAGGTCTTCTGTGGGTCG